CCTCCCCGCCGACCTCCCAAAGTGCTGGGATTATAGGCATGAGCCACCGTGCCCAGCCAATATATTATTAACCATAGTCACCATGATGTGCACTAGACCTCTTCAACTTATTTCTCCCTTCTGATTTTTTTTTTTTATAGACACGGTCTAGCTTTGTTGCCCAGGCTAGAGTGCAGAGTGCAGTGGCATGATCTTGGCTCAAGCCATCCTCCCACCTCAGCCTCCCATGTAGCTGGGACTACAGGTGCATACCACCATACCTGGTTAATTTTTTTGTATTTTTTGTAGAGACAGGGTTTTGCCATGCTGCCGAGGCTGGTCTCAAACTGCAGAGCTCGGGTGATTCACCTGCCTCAGCCTCCCAATGTGCTGAGATTACAGGTGCGAGCCCTCACGCCTAGCCTCTAACTGAAATTTTGTTCCCTTTCAGCAATACCTTCCCAGTCTCCCCTCCATTCCACTTTCTTTTTCTATGAGTTGATATTTTTTAAAGATTCTGCCATGTAAGTGAGATCATGTGGTATTTGTCCTTCTGTGTCTGACTTATTTCACTTATAACGTCCTCCAGTTTCATCCTGTGGACAAACATTATGTGTCATATTTTCTTTATCCATTCATCTGTTGATGGACACTTATGATGATTCCATATCTTGGACATTTTAAATAGTGCTACAATAAACAATGGAGTGCAGATATCTCTTTGACATACTAATGTCATTTCCTTTGGAAATGAAATATCGCTACCAGTAGAAGGATTGCCGGATCCTATGTTAGTTCTATTTTTAATTTTTAAAAGAACATTTATACTGTTTTGTATAATGGCTATACTAGTTTACATTCCTACTAACAGTGTACAGGGTTCACTCTACATCCTCTTCAACACTTATCTTTTTTGATAATGGTTATTCTAACAGGTGTGAAGTGACATCTCCTTGTGGTTTTAATTTGCATTGCCTTGATGATTCATATGTTGAACATTCTTTCACATCCCTGTTAGCTTCTCTTGAGAAATATCTATTCAGCCCATTTAATTGGGTTGTTTTCTCGCTATTGAGTTTTTATATATTTTGGATATTAACCCTTATCAGCTATGTGGTTTGCAAAATTGTTCTTTCATTCTGTAAATTGCTTCTTCACTTTTTTTTGATTGCTTCCTTTGCTGTGTGATGCTTTTGAATTTAATATAATTTAATCTCATTTGTCTGTTTTTCCATAAGAAGAGTTGCTAATGCTGTTTACCCTGGCTGCTAGGCATATCTTGATCCCTGAAGACCCTTCCTTGAACCATTCTGTTCTAAAGTAATCCTTTAACAATCTTTACCAAGTGCTCTGTATTATCGTGCTTTATTTGCTTCTTTATTTACTATCTTAGCCCTTTTAAGATGAAAGGTGCCTGGCATGTCTTAATGCTTTATTCCTAGTCCCTAGCACAATGTTACTTTAATGAATAAGTCAGGTTTGAAGTCACTCTGAGCATATGTGAACATTTGAATTAGCTCAGGAGAGATATATTCTTGATTTCCTTAAATTACAACTGAAATAACTTTTATGGTATGTTTGGCTTATGCCCTCACTATAAGGTATCAGGATTTACAGAAACAGCTGGAAGGATTTTTAATTTTTCCATTGATTTCCTTTCTGGGAGGCAGAAAAACCCTCTGAATTTTTTTTTTTTTTTTTTTTTTTTTTTTTTTTTTTTGTTTTTTTTTTTTTTGCCCAGACTGGAGTGCAACACAGTGAACTCGGCTCAC